ACAGCTTTGTGCCACTTTTGAGCGAGCAGGGCCTCCTCTACCTGTGCTACTGCCAGGGCTTAAAAAGCCAGAGTAGTGCCCTGACTCCTTTTTAGTAAAAGGATTTCTAAAGCTTTTCTCTGCTATGAGATCATTCCCATATGTGCTGCATCCCAGCAGGCAGCGTTGTTGGCAGCTCTGAAACACAGCTGGACAGAAGGAGCCTTTGCAGAGCCAGCTACTCTTGTGTGCAGCTTCGGCCGCCTGTCACGTCCCAGCATGGCAGATCCGGGGCTGCAGTTACTTCTGCCTTCAGAGCCGCGGGTGCGGCTGGGGTCAGGGACACCAGCTGCTGCCCCTGACCTTTGCCACTTTCCCTGTCTTTGCACCAGCAGCAGATTCGAGAGTCCTTGACGGTGGAGCAGTGCGTGAAGCTCCTGCAGAAGATCCAGGACCGTGTTCTCATCGTTTTGTGAGTGAGGCACAAGCCAAACCAACCCTCGCTGCCTCCCTGCAGCCCTGGGTGGGGGGAGTTGAAGGTTAGAAAGGATTCCTCTGCTACCTCTTCCTTGGCAGCAGTCACCAGACCTTCAGGCCAGTTGGCAAAACAGTACAGCCTCACATGTGAGAAGCATTTCCCGGTTTCCCACTACTGCCCTGGACTGGATAAGCTCCTGGTGCAGGCAGAGAGCAGCTGGAACATCCTCCTCCTGGCCTGGTGCTGTGCTTTCAGGCTGGCCCTTCCTGGTGCAAGGCTGGCTGAGGAAGTGCCAGTCCTGCCTTGTCCTCCCCACACTCCTGCCTTCATATTCCTGTCCCACAAATTTTTGTCCCTTAGTCCTATGGCAAGGGGACATCCTGCCAAACGTGCCATCTGTGCAGAACCGCTCCTGTTTGCTTTCCTCACATCCTAACCCTTTCCCCAGTCACAGCAGCCCAGCCTGCCCCCTTTTGCAGAGCCCAGAGCCTCTTGTCTGAGCAAACATGTGGAACCACTGCAGCCTCCACCTCCTCCAGCTGGTCCTGGAGCCCTCAGCCAGACATAGCTCTTGGAAGCTCCCCCCAGGGTGCCCAGGACAGGGAGAAGCTGTGGGAGGGGGCCAGTGCCTATGTGGGGGGGTGGGCCAGTGCCTTTTGCAGAGCTGCACATGCTGTTAAGCTCCCCGGGTGGGTAGCTGGTACCGTGGGTCCTCTGCATTTTCCCCATCTCCTTGGAGGGCAAGATGTACAGGGCTCTGGCCACCTCGGCCTGTGTGGTGCTATTAAAAGACTTTCTAGGAAATGAGAGGAAGTACTAGAAGTTGAGAAAGGAGGTGCAGTTTTGGCTTTCCTGGTCAGGTGAAATAGTAAAATCTGAAGGTCCACACATCAGTATAGGCCCATGCATCAATAGAGGTGGGGGGTAAACCTGCTGGAAAACAGCCCTGAGGGGCAGGATCTTGGAGTCCTGGTAAACACTAAGTTAAACAGGAGCCAGCAATCTGCTCTTGTTGCCGAGAAGGCCTGGGCTGCATTAGGAAGAGCATGGCCAGTATATCAAGGGAAGTCGTCTTCTCCTTCTGTTCTGCCCCGGTGAGGTCAAATCTGGAGATCTGTGTCCAGTTCTGGGCTGTTTCAGTTCAAGAGAGACAGGGAACTACTGAAGAGAGTGCAGCAGAGGGCAGCGAAGATGCTTGGGGAACTGCAGCATCTCTTGAAAGGTTGAGAGAGCTGGGACTCCTTAGCCTGGAGAAGACTGAGAGGAGACCTTATCAATGTCTATAAATATCCAAAGGGTGGGTGCAAGGAGGATGGAGCTGGACTCTTTTCAGTAGTGCCCAATGACAGGGCAAGGGGCAATGGGCACAAGCTGGAACACAGGAAGCCTCATCTAAATATGAAGAGAGACTTGTTCGCTGTGAGGGTGACAGAGCACTGGAACAGGCTGTCCAGGGAGGTTGTGGAGTTTCTGTCTTTGGAGATTTTCAAAACCCACCTGGATGCAATCCTGTGTAACCTGCTATAGGCAATCCTGCTTTAGCAGGGCAGTTGGACTAGATGATCTCTGGAGGTCCCTTCCAGCTCTGACCATTCTGTAATTCTGTAAGGATTTTCCTGCTTGTCCAGAAAAGCAATATCATGGTGAGGACAAGTCCTGTAGGCCATACAGAGGATGTGCCTTTGAGCCTGGGATGTCACCTTGTCCCATTGCCTGCAGCATGGTAGGAGACAGCATGATCTTAGGACTGCAGGAGGTCTAATGCTGACTTGTCCAGGAAGACTGCCCTGGTACCTCCTTCTCCAAGCAGGACACACCCAGCAAAGCGAAGAGGGAGGAGGGGGACGAGGGGAGATGTAAAAGCTCTACAGAAGGAAAAAATTAAGAGCTGGAGACAGGGTGGGGGGCAGGGAATTATATACTCTGACCAGTTAAGGAGCCAGCCCTGGGCAGACAGTGTTTAACCAATCTCTACTAATACTACTAGGCAATCACCCAAGGTTTTGAACAGATAGTTTGATACAAAACAGCTGCTTGCCAAGTGGTGCAGTGCTCCCCTGACTACCACGTGTGACCCTGTGACCCTGCTGTTCACAAGGAGCTTGGAAAGAAGAGTTGGGTCTGTCACCCCGCTGTCTTTGGGACACTGCTTCTGCCTGGGACAGCGGCAAAGACAAACGGAGGCACGCTGAGAGCTGTACTGAGCCTTGCTGTTGCTTTTCAGAGCACAGGATGGACTCTTGGTACCAGACAAGCTAGACAGCAGAAATCACTTTGCGAAAGCCCTACGGGAGGCCTTCGAATCTACCCTCAAAGAGGTGAGAGTAAACCATCCTTGCATCTCTATAAGCCACCAGCCTGGGAGCAGCAGGTAGGAAGCAGCTCATCTTGGCAGACAAATCCCATTAGGTGATTTGTCCTGACTGAGACAGCCCTCACACAGGGACGAAAAGCTGCTAAGCTTTGCCCTGGCTGTCAAAGTCCCAAGTTAGTTAGTACTGGCCTCTGGACCCAGTTCTTCCCTTGTGCTCCTGCATCCCTGTCCTGCATCATTCACATCTCCTCTCCCCGCCCTCCCCAAACACCACACAGCAAGCAGAGTTTGCCCGAAGGAACACTTTTCCTGGTCTACAGCTTGTGTCTTTTCCGTCCAGCACATCCAGGTAGCAGAGGTGCCTGGGAGTCATTTTGTGCACCTGAATGAGCCCGAGGTGGTGTCTGGGATCATCAGCAGCTTCCTGACGGCGCAGAACGCCAGAGCCAGGCTCTAGGAACCCCTCAGTGCTGCAGCAATCCGGGAGAACAGGGAGCTACAAAGCAGGCACTGGAGGAATTGTCACCATTCCTACCTCAGATCCAACACTGGTTTTATGATACACTTACCTAAGCATAGCTCGCTGCAGGGTGGAAGCAGGTCTGCCAGGGCTTCCCTGAAGGAGAGCTGAGCAAACTCTCTCAGTTGTCAGAGGGAAAAGGAATCCTTCCTCCACTTCCAGCTCTCTTAAGTACAGGGATAGAGGCCCAGAGCAGTCTTCCCCATACTTGCTCCTAACTTGGACCCTGAAACAGAGCAGTAATACAGGCAGAGGCATCCTGTGGAGGAGCAGCAGCACCAGCTGTAGCACTGCAGAAAACAAGTGGCTCATCTCACCTCCTCTCCAGGGTTGTGGTGACCAGGCACCTTCCAGGATTAGACCCAGTGAAAAAACAACAGAAAAGGGTTCTGCTTCTCTGCTCACTTTCATGGGTGCCTGAGTTCAGAGGGTTTCAGTGTCTGTTCTACTGTGAGAGCTGCTTTTTAAAACATGAGCTTAAGTAAGAGCTCACCTGGGCACAGAGGGCCATTTTAATGAACTCCTAGGGAATGAGTCACTAATCTTACAGCTGAAGCAGCTGAGAGAAGTACTAATAATGGAAAAGTTGGCAGAGATTATTTCTGTCCTTCTAAATAAAGATTAATCTCCCAATGTTAACTCTGTCTTCCTGACTATAGGAGAGCGAACCTCCAAGCTGCTCACGCAAGCAGCTAAAATGCCAATCTTGGGAGGCAGTGATTTTTGCAGTCTGCTTTAGACAAGGCATAAGAAGGATCCATCTGCCTCCTAGTTAAATCGATGCAAAAAGCCAAACTGAAGTGAGACAGCCTGGCAGTCTCCCCCTGCAATGGAAACAGTGGGTTTTGTACAGGAGGGGAAATCTGTTTAAACCCAGTTCTGTGGAATTTACCAGCATTTCCCCCTGATATTCACAGTCATACCCGTATCAAGGCTGCAGGCAATGAAAAGGTTGCGGGCGGTTACAGCCCTTTTCTGATCAGCAGGTGGTTTGGGCTGAAGACTCACCGAGTCTGAAGCCACACAAAGGTGGCAGCTGGATGTGCCTGGATGTGCCCGTCACCGTCCTTAACTGCCTCCTGTGGGTTGGTGACAGGTTAAGCAGAAACAGGCTTTGGAGAGTCTGGTTTCTCCCTCCAAAGCCAGGCTGCCATCTCACCTTCATTCTAGTGACAGTGCCGAACGTCAGAAGTTCCCACAGCGCAGGCTACACAAGGCTGTAGAGGTCCACATGCACAGCTGGACAACTGGGCACCTCAACATCTGGCTGAGAGGGAGCTACCTGGGAGGAAAACACTGAGGGAAGGGGTAGGGCTCTGTGTCAAAACATCAACCTTCCTTGTGACAACAGGTCTAGGAGCTTCTCAGTTGGGCTTTTCCCAAGGTCAGTTTCATCCTCCTCTTACTCCTCCCTAGACAAACTGTGCAAAGGAGCACCACCATATAAACTGTGACACTTACTGCCAGCCCAGCACACAAGAAGCTGTTCCCCACAGCAGACCATGGGAGAAAAGAAAGGCAGTCCCGTGTCTTGAGAACATAGCAGCAGTTTTATTTACAGTTCTTTAGCCATTCCCTGTCCCTGCAGGGGCTGTGCTAGATCAGTCCCAGTGCTCACAAAGCTTTAGGAGGGCCTTGGGTGGCAGGGAGATACACGTCGTCACAGGAAGCACCTCATCCGCCTGGCAAGTGAGGACACAGCACCAGTCGAAGAGCAGGACACCGGTGCCAGTGAAGGAAACTGCCCCTCCAGTAGCAGATGCTGGGATCTCCCATTTCAGATCCAAGGGCAGGGACAACCTAAAGCTGCCTCAAATTCCTTGAAATCCTTTGGAACACGATGTCCACAAGCATCTCTCCCACCCTCTCCAGCGCAGGCACCAGAGGAATAGCTCAGCGCAACTTAGTACGGCCTAAACTTGCGCTGGGCTCGCATCAGCGCGATTCTCTGCTTGTCCTCCTCAAACTTCTTCCTCAGCTGGGCGATGTCTGAAACAGGCAGAAAGAGAAAGAGGACAGGTCACACGGGAGCAGCAGATCTCCCTCTCCTGGGGAACTTTCCCTTCACGCACCAGGAGGAGCTCAGTCCTGACAACACAAACACTTCCCAAAGCGGGTCCTTTTGCGCCTGGGCTGAGCAGCAAAAGCTGGGCTCAGGCCCTTCCTCTCCGGCAGTGCCGCAGCTCCCTCTTGGGGAGGAAACGGGCTATTTTTCTCTTTCGGTTGCTGCCTTTGCACAGACTGAAGGAACCTCTACTGGAAAGCCACGACCTGTGTGCTCTCCCGCAAAATATTCCAGAAGCCCTTGCTAGGAGAGACGGTGGCAAGGTATCTCCCGCTGGTGGAGGCCATTCACACAACCACCCAGCCAGCTGTTCCCCTGCAGCTGGACAAAACCTCCAAGGACACTTTTTGGGCCACAGTGCAAGAGACACGAGCAGGGGCAGGAGGAGACTCGGACATGGAGACTCAGACACTCACGCTCTCTCTTGGTCTCACGATGCTGCCAGGCATAGAAGTTGAGCAGCTCTTTGCGGGCCCTTTTCTGTTTCTCCCTCTCCAGCACCCGCAGGTTGGCAGCTTCTGTCCGGGGCAGGCCAGGCTTCCGGCCCTTCCGCGTTACCTTCACCCAGCCCTCTTCATCCGGAACACCCTCCTCCCTGGCCGCTTTGGCTTCTTCCTGTGAAGAGACGAGTGTGAGGCAGCTCAGTGCAGATGGGCCGCCAGCCAACCTGATGCACGGGTCCCCCATGGTCCCCCTTAAACACATGCAAAGCTACAACTTCTGCTCCTGCACAGGGTTTAAAGGCAGGCATGGGACCAACGGCGCAGGCATTCAACTCTCAGTCACGACCCGGCACGCCAACCAGGACCCAGTTTATTTGTAGACAGCCCAGGTTAGAAGTGTCCGGCATTGTGGACCAAACCAGGAAGAGACGCTCCACAAGCAAGCGCAAGTAAAAGGACCCTGCCAACCATCCTGTTTCCCTCTGCCCTTTCCACTGAGGCACCAAGAGATCTTCACTCTTCCTTTCTTCTCCCCAAAGAAACTGTTTAGCTGGGTTCCCTCTGCAGCCTGGCCTCACCTCTGCAATCTTTTTGTCGTAGTCCTGCATGTAGGCATCCACCTCAGCCTTCAGCTCCTCTTGATCCACGACTGAGGCCGCATAGTTGGCGATCCACTCTGGGAAGGAAAGTGCAAAGTCAGTGGCAGCCTCTGTCAGAAACAAGCGCTGGTGTGATGCCTTTGGGCAGCTTTAGAGAGAACTGCTGTGGGGAAGGGCACACTGTTCCCAGCCCTGTTCAGCTCCCTCACTGCCACACACTGCAGCTCAACAACCCCGAGGCCCAAGCCACAGCCGCTGAGTGACGGGAAGAACTTGAAACTTTCGCAAGCAGGACTGGACTAGCCTTAAGGCCAAGAGATGTAACAACAGAGACTGCGTTCCTGTCAAGAGGTCCCATGTGAAGTGCTGCCATCTTGACAGACACCTGGTGCCTGTTATGGAGCCTGGATTTCATCTTGAGGGCAAGACACAGACAGTTTCTCTGAATCTGTGCAATACTGAAATGATGCTGGAAAAAACTGCCCCTACATTGTAGCAAGTGACACCATTCTTCCATTGGGTCACTGGACTGGACTACAGCGTCTGTACAAGACTGTTACTTTGTGAATAACAGGAAGACAATGAAACACTGGATGTCTCCCAGCTCAGTACAAAACGGTGAGAACCTAGGATGTGTGGGGTAGGACTCAGCAAGAAATGAGTACAGTTCTTCCGCAGCACTAGCTAGCAGGAAGACAGCTGAGGCTGACTTACTGCTGATGCCGGTTTTCACAGGGTGACTCTCTGTTGATATCAGTAATGGACCTTCCCGCGAAAGGGCCTTGGCCGCCTGGACACCAGATGGTTTCTTGAACACCACATATGCTACCTGAAATCCCTAAAAGAAAAAAAAAACAAAGGTCAGATATATTGGGGAAACTGGTGACACAGCAAGGACCTGCAGTACAAATAAAATAAAAGCAAAATAAAGATCAAACCACAAGTTGCAGTGGGAAAACAAAAAAAGATAGCACAAACTTTAATAAGTAATCACCTCGTTCAATACCCCCAAAAAGTTTCCTGTATTGTAGAATCACAGAATGGTCTGAGTTGGAAGGGACCTTAAAGACCATCTTGTTCCAGCCCCACCCCCCCACCCATGGGCAGGGCCACATCCTGCCAGACCAGGCTGCTCAGAGCCCCCCTTCCAGCCTGGCCTTGAACCCTTCCAGGGAGGCGGCTTCCACAGCTTCTCTGGGCAACCTGGGCCAGTGTCTCACCACCCTCACAGTGAAGAACTTCCCTCCTCATGTCTAATCTAAACCCTGCCCCAGTTTAAACCCACTGCCCCTGTTGTTACACGCTCTTGCAAACAGCCCCTGCCCAGCTTGCCCAGCTCTCACGTTCCAAACAGCCCCGCACGGTCCTTGCCATCTTCTCCCGCTCTGATGGCTGAAAGCATCAATATTCCCACCCGCTCTCCGAGCTTTACCGTTACAGATTTGCGGTTAAAGAATTTGGACGCCGGTTTTTCTTTCTTCTCTCCGGGCCCG